CCCGTTTTCCTTTGCTGATTTTAATCTCTAACCACGAGTAAAACAGCCTTCCTGGGTCCCCCGAGTCCTTTCATTGAACCTGAAGGTGATCTCGCCGACCCCGACACAGCCTATAATAGAGTAAAACTCTTATTTACTAAAGAGGATTTCTACTTATTTCAAGGTTTGGTATCAGCAACTTTATTTCCAAAGAGGCAGAGATAGTAGTACATACTCATAGGAGTGTCTTCTAGTATGTCGATTTCCTTCCCATCAACGAAAAGGAATTATTAATGCTTTTTCCTCAGTGGCTACTACTGACATATACAGCACTGAGGAGAGAAGAACTTTCTCAATTCTTCTATCTTTAAGTTAATTTTGAACTTAAAAAAAAGGGCGTGTCAGAACCACCTGGCATGGCCCAAGACCTCAGGTATTCAAAGACACTCTTCCCAGCCAGGAGTCAGTCAAGGGCCAGTCCCTTCTTTGGAATGTGCAGGGTTGGAGTACCCCAAGTGCACTGAATTAACCCTTTGCAAAGGGATTAATTCCATAAGAGATTCATGGGTTAAAATATTATCCAGGATTATAGCATTCAAGAGCTTTTGGTTTATTAGATCAAAACATCCCAATGTTGATCAATGACAAGTCTATCACCTCACATGGTTTCCCAATTCCCTAGTACTTTAACTGCTCTCTTTCCCCTTGGGAGGCTCTTAATTGTTCCAAATTATTAAGAAAAAATATCAAAGATAATTGTCTAGTATGGAATTATCTACCTCTTGAGTAAGAATGAGATTTTAATTTAGCTCACTGCTCAATCAGAAAAAGCATGTTGCTATTATATTGATTTCCATTCTGAGTCACAGGCCTAGCGCTAATAAAAAACCTTGAGTGAATAAACAATACTATCATGAGCTCACTAAATTAATGATTTAGGATTTCCTGTCTTTTACTTAAAGCTTTACCAAGTACAGAATGGTAAATGGTGATGTTTTGCCTAGGAATGTCAGATGGCCTAACTTAAGTATTAATATTTTCCATGCATAGTCCCAGGAACTATTACCAGGCATTATTTTACAGTTTATTATTATCCATGATACCTAATATACTATTTTTACACATTAACTATAGTAGTGATAGGAGAATGTTAAAGCCTCTTTCCTGAGAGAATCATGTATGTAGGGACTGAACTATATAGTCAGACTGCTTGGAATTGAACCCCATCCCCAACATTTACTTACTCTGTGAAATTGGTCAAGTTTGTTTTTTTTAATCTTTTGCGCCTCAATTTCCTCTTCTGTTAAATGGGAATATTCACAATACCTTCCTCAGATGGCTGTTATAGAGATTAAATAAACCCATATGTGTAAAGAACTTAGAATTGTGCCTTGCATATGATAAAAACTCACATAAGTGATGGCTATTACCATCACTACTGCCATTATTCCAAGGAACTTGGGACATTTAAATTACATTACTAGCTCTTTAATTTTCACCTTACTCCAAGTGGTAGAAAAAAGGGCAATATTATCCTCTTGGCTGACAGGCAGTTATTGTATAGTCAGTCATAAGAGCACTTTATTGAGTTCCACTGCAACATAGCTGCCTCACTGGTTTCATCTGCAGTATGGGATGGTAATAACCCATCTACTAGAAAAGGATGTGTGCACATTAAGTAAAATTTCTGCTCAGAAGTCCTGTTTTGTGGTATCATCACTCAGGATATACTGATAATACTAAGCTCTGTCAGATACTTGGGATTTCAAAATTACCTGGTTCCAGGTACTCAACCACTTCTGCAAGGATGAGATTTAATACACTTCAAGGCAAGAACCCCAAAAAGGTACTAGAAGAACAAATTAATAAAAAAAATGTGTCCCCTTCTTTCACATTCCCTGGTTAGGATACATTTCTTCAAAATAGTCAATGTGTGGAGGTTGGAGTATGTCAAGGGCAGAGAGTACCTGAGAAAAGGGAAAAAAAGGTAAAATTTAGAGAACTAAAAAGGAAGTAACATATGACATAAGTACAAGTAAATACTGTTAACACTTTAGTGATTTAAGGTTTAGTTACAATTGCCCACTGAGATTAACTAAATTTATCAGTCAAGAAACACAGTCCTAAACATTAAGATGGGTTTGTAGATTTACTACCTAAAAGATAATTCTATCTAAACCAAAATGAGAGAGGCAACTGGATTATACTAAATGCTACCAGAACCCCTGAATAGGATGGTGTTAGAAATGTTCTATTTTTAATAATCAGTATTTATCTAAGAGCATAAGGAGCCATACCTACCATTCATTCCTTTATTCTTCTGTTAAAAAAATATTTCAATAAGTGTATTCTACCTGGCAGGCACTATGGTGGGCTCTTGGGTTCTAAGAACAAAACTGATATTCCTACTCTCATGACTAGGGAAGAGGAAGGCATTAAACAAACAAACAGTTACACAAATATATAATTATGACATTTATTATTATGCAGGGGAAAAGTAAAGAGGAGTGTGGAGAAAAAGCTTCTCTGTGGTAATACTACTCTGAGTGGAAGGCTGAATAGAAGTTGGTCAGGCAAATGTAAGTCATTGAGGCAAGGAAGAACCAGGAAGATTCTAGAGGCAGAAATGCCAGTGCTTATGGAATACAGTGGGTGGGAGGAAAACAGGCTGGGATAAAACAGAAGAGAAAGGTAGGGGATAATCACATAAAATTTATTTAAATTATGTTAAGCATTTTGAATTTTATTCCAAGTCCTCCAAAAAGTCACTCAGGTGGGAAAAAAAATACTTTATGGCATCTGAAATTCAAGCCCTTTATAAAAGCAGCATACTATCAATGTAGTATGCCACTGAAACATAACAAACAGGCTTACTTCCCCTACCAGCTGTCTAGCTACTCTTTTACTAGTAAGTCCCAATTACAATGTCACATTTAAGAATCTAAACCTACCTTGCTAATGAAAAATACCAGGCTCAAAGGACAGGGAGGAAGTTATTTAACAGGAAGTAAATTGTGTCAGTACAAATTCAAATTTCTGATCTTGAGCTTAGTTTATTAAGAAAATTTTTTAAAAAATTATGGATAATTTTAAACACATAAAATGGGCAGAATAGTATAAAGAATACTCATGTAATTATGTAAATACTCATGTGATCTATACATGACCATTCCGTTTCATCTATATCCTCCACTCTCCCTATATAATTTTGAATATATAAATACTAGCTTTATTTCAGCCATACATTGGTCATTATCTCTAAAAGATAAAAAACAAAATTATCAAATATAAAAATTTAATATTTTATATTTTGAACTGAATACCAGTTTATTAAGAATAAAAACAGCCGAAACCGGTTTGGCTCAGTGGATAGAGCGTCGGCCTGCGGACTAAAAGGTCCCAGGTTCGATTCTGGTTAAGGGCAAGTACCTGGGTTGTGGCCACATCCCCAGTAGGTGATGTGCAGGAGGCAGCTGATTGATGTTTCTCTCTCATCGATGTTTCTGACTCTCTATCTCTCTCCCTTCCTCTCTGTAAAAAAATCAATAAAATATATATTTTTTAAAAAAAGAATAAAAACAAATGACCAATCTACTATATATACATGCATGTTTCTTAATACCACCAAATATGCAGTGCTCAATTTCCCAATTTTCTTTTTTTTTAAAGTTTGTTAGTCTAAATCAGGAGCTAAATAAGATTTACATGTTATGGTTGATTCATGTCTTTTAAGTTTTAATCTACAAATTTCTCCTCCATCTCCCTTTCTTTTCCCCTTGCAATTTACATGTGGAAAAAACCTTGTTCATTTTAAAGGTTATTCTTTTTTCAGTCAAGCATTTGTCACTTTAACATTTTAAATTAAACTAAAACCTTCTGTAATAAAAAAGCCTTCACCTACTTTAAAATCAGTTAAACATAAATGTTTTAAAATAGTTTAGATGTTTATTATAAAGAATATCTATCTTTCCTTTCTGAATTAAAATGTTTATACTTAGGAAAAATAACAGATTTTCCAGTTTCTGTACAGAATAATTTTTTTGTCATATAAAAGATTTCATTTCTATATTTAAAAAATCTATAATTACTGTGTCAAAAATACATGTAAATTCATGTCTCATTATGTGATAGAACAATTTTTAACATGAATATCTGATGCCTGAGGAAGGCAGTTAGAAATTAGTGTTTTACTTGACATCTTTTGGACTCTAAACTCTGTATCTGAACAACATACATCCTGTCTTGCGGGAAAACAGAATGCAATGAGTGACGGTGTCCATTAGACAAAGCTATTTCACACTTCAAATCTATCTGCTATAATTAGAGGTTATCTAGAAGAAAGTGACAACCATACATTTAAACCTTGATAGAGAAGAATGAGGCTTTTTTACTCCAAATTTGATGAGGCTTTTTGTAGAAAAGCCATATAAGACAGGGTTAGACATCTGCACTCAAGCATTTAGCTGTGATTGTTAGCTTCAAAGGTGCAATATTTTAAACTCTGTATGGAATTTTTTAACCGCCTGTTGTTTTTTATTCCTGTTCTTTTTACCTAAAAATGTTATCAGAGAATGGCATTCCACAGTGTTTCAAGGTGGCACAGAGCTAAGGCCGGGAGAAATGATCCAGGAATCTCAGAAGTGAGAAGTAAATTAGAAAGAACAGTAGCAGAGTTCCAAACTCCAGACTTCATGCCTGACTCCTTATTTAAATAGCCATGTGAGATTAACCTTATCTTGTAAATAGAGGAGGATGCTTGTAAAAAGTTAAAGTACCCCCAAATACCGACAACCCTTCAAGGATCTCAAATACAAAAAAAGTAGGCAGACTTTTCTAATTAAAAAACAAACTAACGCTTAAGTAATGGTCATTACCAACAGTGTTTCAACACATTTCTCAAGTCGCTTATGAACTGGACAAAAGCTCCTTATGATAGCCACTGTTAAGAATTTTAACCTCTGTGATGTTAGGAGAGTCATATAAATTGGTTACTTAATGAGTAAACGACTTAGTTTTTCTTCTTCTTTTTTTTAGTCAGCCCTTTATCAATAAAACAATTGTGAATAATCTCAATCCTAAATATAAAGACTAGAAATTTTGCTCTGGCTGGTGTTGCACCCTGGTTAGAGCAGCGGCCAGTGCACAAAAGGGTCTCAGGTTCGATTCCTGGTCAAGAGCATGTACCTGGGTTGTGGGTTCACTCCCTGCCCCCAGTTGGGGCACGTGCAGCAGGCAACCAATCGATGTGTCTCACATCAAAGTTTCTCTCCCCCTCCTCCTGTTACTCCCTCCCCCCACTATCTGAAAAACAATGGAAAAAATATCCTCAGGTGAGGATTAACAAAAAAGACTACACATTTAGCTCTTCATACAACTGAGTTAAATCCCATGTTTAGCAAAGGAGCTACTCTTTCCTCATTCTCTCCATCCCCCCATCCCATTAGATTTTAAGTTCTTTAAGGTAGAGACTATTTTATTACTATTATTTTTATAGAGTTGTAAGATATAGTAAAATACACACATCCTAAGTGAACAGTACTTCAATTTCTTTTTACCCACACAGAATGTATAATAGGACACATTTTTATTCCATGGTTAAAATCCAGATCAAGAATTTAAGTATTTCAACAACCCAGAAGGCCCCTTTGCCTCTCCTGTCAAAATTTTTTTTTTCCTGCTCAGAGGTTACCACTATTCTCATTTCTACCACCACAGATTCGTTCTGTCTGTCCCTGAACTTTATATGAATTGAATCACAGAGTCTTTTGCGTATAGTTTCTTTCACTTACTGGTATACCTGTGAGATTCATGGTTTGGATGACATTGAATATCCAGCTCATTTTGGGGAGAGTATGCCCATTAACCACACATCCATGTTGATGTGGATCGGTAGTTCATCCTTTTTATTAATGTAGAGTACATCATTATATGAATGGAATACAACACAATGTACTTATCCAGGATACTGCTGACAAACATTTGTGTTGTTTCCCCAATTTCTAGGTATTATGAATAAAACGGCTATGAACATTCATGTACAGGTCATTTGGTGGGTATATGTAATCATTTGTCTTGCGTATACCAAAGAGTACAACTGCTGGGTCATTGGGTAGGTGTGCCCCTCTCTGGTAGAGGACACACTGCTGTCTTAATCACTCTCTGGCTTTGTTTTGTAATTTTATTACATTTGTATTGGTTTTGCATGTTTCTGAATTTTATATAAATGGAATCATACCGTGTTTATTCTTTTGTGACTTGCTTTTTCACTCAGTGTTTCTGAGATTTGTCCAAATTAATGTGTGCAGCAGTAGGGCATTCTTTCTCCTTGCTGTATAGTGATCCTTTGAATATAACACACTTTATTTTTCTATTTTGCCCCACTGGTCATTTTATCTACCCCTTTGAGATTGTGAATGGAACTCACTGAATCTATAGATCAGTTTTGGGGAAATATACATCTACATGAAATTGAATTTTCCAGTTAATTCCATTTTGGTCTGACAGCAGACATTGTATAATTTCTATTCTATTAAGTTTGTTAAGGTATTTTCTATGGCCAGAATGTGGTCTATCTTGGTAAATGTTCCATGTGAGCTTCAGGAAAATGTGTATTCTGCAGCTGTGGAGGCAGTCTATAGGTGCCACAGTTATATCCAGTTGATTGATGGTGTTGTTGAGCTCAACTATCCTTAAAAGACACCACAATGAAAGATTGAACAAACAACAATAAGAGTTGAGAATTAAAATAATAGCATTTTAAAAACAATTTCAGAGAAGAGCTGGAAGATAAAAAATCTCTCAAAAAATAGAAAAAGACAGTAAGAGAGAAGAGAGAAGAAAATCAGAGGATAAATCCTGTTCTCTCTGGATTTAACAGATGCTGGGCTTAATCAGAATTCAAGA